CGTGTGCATCCAGAGATTTTTATTAGTAACTGTTCTTACGATGATGGAGTGTCTACACGGAAAATCAGCATCTACTTCAACTACCAGCAACGGATCTTTTTGGTTTTGTGGACAGAATCCTTCTTGTCATTTCTTTTTCTCAGAAGAGGACGGCTATCGTTTTGAAAAAGCAATAATAGCTTGGAAATCTGCTGGCGCCCATCAACCACAATGCCATGAACATCAGAAACTTGCAAGAATGCGAATAGTTAAAGATCCAATGAAAGAAGACTATGGAAGACCATTTTTCGTCTGTTCTCACCGTGAAAATCCGTGTTCTTTCTGGCAATGGGGCGATGTTGCCGACGAGACAGTTAGACCAAACTGCCGTCATGGTTTTCCGTGCTGTATACGGAAAGTGAAAAAAGAAGGACTTAATAAAGATCGTACGTTTTTCTGCTGTCCAAATGGAAAGGATAACTCATGCAGTTATTTTGAATGGACTCCCAGTGAAGAAGACATTCCAACTGTCCATGTTTCGAAGTGAACTTTAGCATGCCACCCTCGTATAATTATACCATTAAACGGACAGGAGAGAGATTTACGAGTCGTTGTGGGGACAGAATGAAAGCTTTTAAAGAACATTTGGAAAACAAATCCAAAGACAATTTAACAAACACTTTTGAAAATATGAAGTTGTAATATTATTTAAGTTTTTTACCCGAATTTTCTAACTTGCTTTTACATGTTTTTATGATGTAATGCTAATTTTTTTCAATAAATATCATTGATAAATTCGATGTTATTCACTTTGTGTAGTCATTTGCTAGTACTTGCGGCGGTGTTCAGTATGGATATCATTTGCGACGAGTTGAAGCAAAATAACGTAGATATTGACAAGGAGACTTTATCCTATCATATTAATGTTATCCTTAATAAGAATCATGAACTATACGAAGCAGCAAGAGTCCAATCTTTAACAGTAAACCTTAGTCGGTTTTATAAAGAAATAAACGTAACAAATTTTGGACGATTTATTGCTTATTCAGCACTAGTATACCGAGCTAGTGATTCCCTGAATGAGGAAACTATTCGTCAGGCAGTAAGACTATCAGTTGAAGTTATCAAAACATTTAACTTGGAAAAATTTAAACGCAGTAAAAAATCTTTTCGAAGCGTTTTTGTAATGATGTCATTTACACTAGCGGTCCTTTATGTCATTTAAGTATCGTCCAAATTACCATGCGATGTTCATTTGATACTGACCGTTGAGGCGTAGGCATAACTTGTTGTTGTGAGAGTTTTCCACAAATAGCTCTCCGTAATATATTTCGGAGGATCCGCTGTATTTGCGCTTGTTGTGGAGCGAGTATTGTGATATATTCAAGCCTCTGACATTGATGCCAGAAAAATATCTAAGCCAACTGTATTACAATCCAGAACATCCTGCAAGTTTTGGAGGCGTAGATTCAATTTACCGTGTTGTAAAAGAGGAAGGAAAACATCAAATATCGCGGAATAGAATACGGTCATGGTTAAAAAAGCAAGAAACATACACATTACACAAACCCGTACGGTTCCATTTTAAACGCAATAGGGTTCTAGTGGGTGGCTTTGATGAACAGTGGGAAGCTGATCTCGTTATTATGGACTCGCTAAGTAAACAAAATAATGGTTACAACTACCTTTTGACCGTTATCGATGTTCTCAGCAAATACGCATGGGTTGAACCAATTAAGACGAAAACGGGCGAGAGCCTCGTTCAGGCGTTTGGAAAAATAATTAAAAATGGTAGAAAACCTGAGAAACTACACACAGACAAAGGCACAGAGTTTACGAATAGAATGTTCCAAAAGTTTTTAAAGGAAAATAATATTCGATTCTTCACGACCCATAACGAAACCAAGGCCTCAATTGTGGAAAGGTTTAATCGTACACTGAAAGGAAAGATGTGGAAATATTTTACGGCTAAAAACACAGTAAAGTACATTGACATAATTCAGAAGTTGGTCAAATCATACAACCATTCCAGACACCGTAGCATAGGAATGAAACCAGCTGACGTGAATAAAGATAACGAAGGTTTTGTGTGGCAGAAACTGTACGGGGAAGAACCTCACAAGTCCATCTACTATAAATTTAACATTGGCGATCAAGTTCGGATAAGTAAAGCACGACGTACGTTCAAGAAAGGCTACCTACCCAATTGGACCGAAGAAGTGTTCACTATAACGAAGCGAGTACCACGACGTCCTCCCGTGTACAGAATTGCTGACCATGATTCGGATGAAGTGGAAGCAGTCTTTTATGAAGAGGAACTTCAGAAAGTGACTAAAACTCAAAATGACTTTTATCGAGTAGAAAAAGTAATTAGATCACGCATGCGTAATAAACGTAAAGAATATTTTGTAAAATGGCTTGGTTACCCTGAAAAATTTAATTCCTGGGTGCCGGCAGAGAATGTAAAAGACATTAAGGAGCTTTAGATTTGACTACGAGTACGAGATTCGTCAAGCTAAACGCATGCTGTATGCTTACGCCATCCCGTACTGACGCGAAAAAATTGTAGCCGTCGCCCATCTGAGTACGAAATTGTGGAGAAATCTCGTAGTCCTCACGACGACTTTTCAAAAAAACAAAGAAAGTTGGCTTTTTTTTGTTTTCCAAAAATAATCTGTAGCATTTATATAACGTTTATCCGGCGCAAATAATATATTAGTACTAAATATCTGGCCTGTTTTTAATGTTATGACTTATTTACACGTTTTGTAGGGGATTTTAGTCTGCAGGAGATTTAGTTTATTAAACTTTTTCTCTCGTTCTTGGTTTACTGTTATAAAAGCAACATTTGAATGAAAACGAAAACGACTACGGTAATTTCCTCGCACGCGATCAAATCTCGTACTCGTAGTCGTACTCGTAGTCAAATCTAAAGCTCCCTATTAATCCCCGAGCCGACGGCGCAAAGCGCCGTGCGAGGGTACTAATTCCCCCTGGCTATTTACACCTGGGGAAACGAAAGCATTAGCGGAGTCTAAAGTTCATCAAGTATCGCGGGCGTGGGTGACCAACGGTGTTGAGTGGGTGGTCATCCTCACTGATCTCAAAAATATGGCGGACTGTCATGAATAGCGGACACTGATTGGTCCAATTTAAAGTTTGCATCATAACGACTGTATGACGACAGCGAAATAGCAAACATTTCTTGATTTGATCACAGATTTGATGATTGATAAATTTCTTGCAAATATACTTCAATTTTACTCGCATTTTTGCAAGATTTTGTAAATTTCAAGATAGAAACGGCGAAAGAATCGGCTAAAAGAAGGGAGCCGACGTTAACGAAGGTAAGTTTGTGTTAAATATTGATTTTATAATTGCTTTAAAACCCGACGGCCTTTAAATTTGGCCCTTTGCGTATATGAAATAACTAAACAAGACAGCATATAATTTCAGTCAATTCAGTGTATTATTAATATTGATTCCTTTTTTATTATATTGAATTTTTTTACTAAAAAGAAAGCAAAGTTATTTGCATGCGAGAATTTGAAATCATTTTGTTGCAAACTCAAAGTTTATCGATAAAGCCATTTAATTAAAGCCAGGCAATTTAGTTTTATAAAGAACGTTTTAAAACGTTTTGCGAAGCTTTTGTGGTTGAATTTTACCTTAAATTGAAGCTTATATTACGTATAATAACATACCTAACAAATATATGTTGGGAAATTGATAATTTTGTAATTAAAATTGATATTTTTAGGCAATTTTTCATTTGTAAGAATATTCTTAAAAAAATATCGTGTTATTACCATGACAACAACTTTGGATACTTCATGTTTGGAAAATACAATGGTTTTGTCAGCAAGGCGAGGGTTTCTGCATGCATGTATTTTCTAGTAAATAAATTGATTTGAATCGTATAACTTGTGTTCATTTATGTTCTGATCTTCAACATGGCAACACAGTTTTATTTGACGTTGCCGAGTAATAGTTCCATAAAATATTTCCCAAATAATACCGTGGAAAATTTCAGAGTGAAATTAGCCGAAGCAATCGTTTTGCCAGGACGGTGGAAAGTTGCATTGATCGGACTGCATTTTCCGTACACGTGGAGTACGATACGAAAAAGAGTACAACAAACGTTTCTGTATAAAAATGGCAGTAGCCCTTATCAAACTGTCGCGCTTAAAGACACACATTATTCTTCTATTGACCAACTAACAAAAGCACTAAATGCCAGCATGTCAAAAGAAGAACAAACGAAAGTAAAGTTTAGTTATATTCGCAGTTCTTGCAAAGTTTTGGTTGATGTAAAACACGGCACAACTGTTTGGGTTAGATTCGTTAGATTCGTTTATTCAAATAAAACACTTTGCAGTCATAGACTGAATTATGTGAATATTTACAACAATTGAGTTTTATACATTATTACAACAATTTTGAATAATTAAAAATAAAAGTAACTGAGTTAGTCAATTTATCACGTAGATTAATTGTTGTTAAAATTTATATATTTAAGCTATGACTAACAGGTACATTAAACCTTCGTTCGCTCCTTAAATCGTTATGATGATGTGCTTGCGGTGGAAGTAGGCCACTGAGCTTATGATTCGGATTATTAACAATATCTTCAAAAAGATGAGTTGATAGTTGGGCTCGTCTGTCGAAGAGAGTGCAAATGCCGGCGTCTTTTAGCGCGTCAGCATATTTCAAGTCCGGGTGGATGATACGCATAGCGCGCCATTGGATACTCTCAAGTTCATTTGACAGATATTTAGGGAGACTCCGATGAAATAACTGGCACGAATATTCCAGAAGTGATCTGATGGCACTACAGTAAAAAGTGATAAGATCTTTTGGACAGATCCCGGCTCTTTTTAATTGTCTCAAAAGATACAGTCGTTTTGCGGCTTTTACGGTGACAATACCGATATGGTCGTTCCACTTAAAATCGTCCCGGATTGTTACGCCAAGAATTTTGGCCACGCTAACTCTTTCTAACTGGAAATCATTGAGTTCGACTAAAGGGAATGATGGAGGGTTTCTCTTGAAACATGATCGTACTTCTTTACACTTAGTTGGTTTCAATTGTAATCGATTTTCTTGAGACCATGCATCGATATAGTCAACAGCTTGCTGAAGAGAGCTTTGCTTGGAGGGTGGTATCACTTCAGAGATTGTGCAATCATCGGCGATTTTCCACATAGGTAAGGATTTATGAGATAGCTTAAGATCATTGATTAGTACTAAAAACAACCAGGGACCAAGACGAGTTCCTTGAGGCACTCCTGCTGGGACGTCAAGCCAATCGGAAACGATGTTGTTTAGTTTAACCCTCTACTTTCTATGTCTTAGGAAATCAATTATCCAATTGACGGCCGTGGGTTTTACGCCTATACTAAACAGTTTGGCGACTAAAATATTATGGTCCACGAGGTCAAAAGCTTTGCGGAAATCTAAAAGTATGGTTCTTACGGTGGATGCAGTGCTGTCAGTAGCTCGTAACCATTGATGGAACATAGAGATTAGTGCTAGAGTAGTTGACGATCCTGGGATAAAACCAAATTGGCCTGGGTCGATAATAGGTAGTAGAACAGGTTTCAACGCAATGTCTATGATGAAGCTCTCAGCAACTTTTGAGAGGGTGGGTGTTAGAGAGATTGGTCTTAAATCCTTATTGATGTTGCAGATAGAAGATGCCTTAGGCAGAGGACAGACATTGGCAAGTTTCCATGCGTCAGGAACTTTACATTCCAAGAACGAAGTATTTAGGATATCAGCAATTGGGGCCGCTAGAATATACGCAAAATTTTTAAGTACCCAGTTAGGGAGGTTGTCGGGACCACTGGCACGAGAAGCATTTAGCTCTAAAAGCTTTCTTGCGACAGAGTGTTCAGTGACAGATATTGGTCGATCATCAGCCATTTCTACACGTATACAATCTGACAGAGGTAAATAATCATTCATTATGTTGGCAAACGCCGAATTGATGTTTTCAGCCAGAGATTCCTTATCACAGACAAGGTTTGGATGGAGTAATGAGATTAGGTCCCGTTTTGGAATTTTACTGGCGCCGCAAATCTGTTTAACTTCTCTCCACCAGTCACGGGGCTTGGAATCTCGTAAACCTTTAACTTTGGTAACGTAGTAGGATTTTCTGCAGCGTTTGCATGCTTGATTGACTTTGTTTCTTAGAATTTTGTAGAGAGGATTGTTACCAGATGTAAAAGCTTTTTGGCGACGAGAGATGAGCTGTTTTAGATTAGTGTTCATCCAGGGCTGATCTGATTCATGTATCTTGATGGTTGACACGGGCATGATGGTATTTAGGCCAAATTAAAATTTATTATATCTGTAAGGATGTTAAGTTTATCTTCACTTGACTGAGCTGGGGAGAACAAGTCAGACCAAGGTACTTGTTGAAGAAATCGACCAACACTTGCTATTTTACTGGGTCGTTTATCTCTCGTCGCAATTAATTTGCGTTTGGGCTTAGAGGTTTTATCACGAATTCTAGCCGAGATAAATATAGTTTGATGGTCCGAAAGACCAAATGCGGGTAAGCTATACGGGGGTGAGAAATACTCTGTAAGGTTGGTAAAAATTTGGTCAAGAGTTCTATCTCCTCTAGTAGGGAAGTCAACGACCGGTTTAAGTTGAAAGACTTTCACAGCAGACTGGAGCAAGGGAAGGAGCGTTTTGTTGAAGTCTCCAGCTAGTACGATTGCGCAATTAGGGTATTTTATCTCTAAGATCTCCAAGGACGATATAAGGTAGTCCTTCATAGTGGCGTCGTCCGCGGCTGGAGGTTGATATACTACAGCTACTATGATATTTGAGATACCACGTGGTAAGCGTTTTGGTCGAAGATTAGCCCAAAGAACTTCATGATCACTGTGATTTAGGTCTGCTAAGATGTTACAATGTATTTAATCTTTTACGTACATACATACGCCTCCATGAAGCCGGTTGGCACGGTCTCTTCTATAAAGTTGATAATGTTTGATATTAATAGAAATATCAGGAACGGTATCACGCAACCAAGTTTCAGTGAATAGGGCAATATTGGCATCAACGGTTTTGATGGTATAAGCGATTTCGTCGATTTTTGGAGCAAGCGACATCGTATTGGATAACAGAATTGACGGAACAAAATGTTTTAACAACGGGCAATCATTTTTGATTATTTTAACGGGAATTAGGTTATGAACATTTCGGGTACGAATACCCATTGGGATTCTGGTATGAGGTTTGTGTATACGACGATTGGGGATTATTTTAATAGGTATATTAAAAGTGGCCTTGGCATTAATAGTAACAATGTTCGATCTTAAATTCTTGTCGATTGTTCTAATTCTGTTTTCTGCGTTAATTTGTTTACAAGGATCAGGTAGTTTCCCCAGTCCGGTGGCCGATTTGAAGAGCAATTCTTCCGAAAAAATTTTCGGTTAAATACAGAGGTATCTATACGTGATATGGGTTGTGGTATATAATTGCATCGCTTCGATTTGACTTGACTAGATCTGGCGTTTTTGCGGTTTCGGGTTGATTTCCTTGTAGTTTTTTGGTGTGTTATTCCAGAATTATCAAGGACATCTATCATTCTGTCGGTGTGAGAGTGCTTAGTACGATATTCCTTCAATTGATCATCAAACGATGGGGGCATAGTCGACGGACTGTAATTTTGGTCAATGCCTGTACCGATTTCATCGACTGTGGTGGAATTTCCATTAGGTGAGGATAAGCCGGCTTGTTGATCATCCAAAATGGATATGACATTGGGATAGGAATTCGATAGGGTGTTATCAAGGCTAAGAGCCTCTGATGTTATACTGGCTTCCTCAACTGTGACAAAAGATTCTATACATGATTCGTCCTGAAAGTTACAAACTGCAAAAGGATTTAGGCTTTTTACTGGTGACATAGCAACGATTTTGGGATTTGACCAGGACACTCTTATTGAAAAGAAAACCTTGAGTCCGTATGTTGCAGATATCAATGGTGGGTTTTCCTCCATGTATGTCTACAGCGATATCGTTGATGTTCAGTTTGTAGGCGATGTCAAAGTTCCGCTGTTAAGGATCGTCAACATAGAAGGGGAATATGGTAAAAATATTCACGCGAGTTTTCGCAATTTGCAATACGTCCCAGTGAAAGTCAATTCCTTTGAGAGTATCGAAATCCATATAAAGAACGACAGAGACGAAAGTGTCTCATTTGCCTCTGGAAAGTCAGTCGCAACACTTCACTTTAGACAGAAGAGATCTCAGTACTTTGTTTAATATGAAAAGCTTACTTATACCAGACGTAAAACTGCTTACAGAGCATTACACAAGAAACCAACGGGGCGGCAGCCTACCTGGATTTCGCGGGGCAAGAACGCAAAGAGGATATGGTATTGGAGGTATCTTTAGAAGCCTTGCAAGATTTGCTATACCTCTTTTCAAACAAGGCGCTAGAACAGTTGGTAAGAGAGCATTGCAAGCAGCAACGGAAGTGGGCCAGCACGTACTCGAAGGGAGAAATGTTTCAGAATCAGTGAAAGCTCGTGGAAATCAGGCATTCACGGATGTTGCTAATAAAGCAGTTAAAACGTTGACTGGTCGTGGGCGTAAGAGACCTATAAAAAGATCTGCCCCAGCAAAACCAACCATTTCTTCTCAAGCTAAGAAGCGGAAAACATCTCACAAGGTTGACAAATATAATCCTAACTTGCCTCACGAAATACGAAAGATTCCTAGAGGGTATATACTCAACACAGATTCTTCCGATAAACCCGGATCACACTGGGTGGCTGTGTATCTTACAGAAGATGGGAAAGGGGAATTTGGGGATTCCTATGGTAAAGCGCCTGGATTTTACACCGAAAACTTTTCTAAGTTTCTCAACAAGCACTGTAGTACATTTGCGTGGAACAGAAGAATTTTGCAAGCCCCTTTATTGGACGTATGTGGGCAATATACATTGTTCTTTGCTTTACATCGGTGTAGACGTATTCCAATGGCAACCATTGCAAATATGTTTACGGATAGCAGAGAATGGAATGATGAACTTGTGCGTGACTTTATAGACAAGTGGTACAAATAGAAAACACTAGTTCTAGTTTAAAATACATTTTATTGTAAAATTCTCTCTTACAGGAAATAAATTATTTTAACCATTTATATGGGCTACTAATATTGTCTCTGCGTTTTTTCCTCTTTCCTTGCTGCACTCGAGGAGTGGTGGGTAGATTTTCCGGGATACGTTTTATATTCGCGAACAATTCCAAGACGGTTTTCGTTTCTCACGATTCCTTAGGGTACATTCAAATGACCAAGAACTTTTGAAAACAATTCCCAACCGTCGGGATTAAAATTCTTCCTTTGACGTAGAGAATCATTCACCAAATCAACTATATTTGTGCTAGGAACCGATCTTCCTTTGAACACCATCTGGCCTTGTTCATTCCAACCGATAAGATCCTTATTTGACTTGAGTTTTTTGATGAGTTGTCGAGCTCTTGACTTCATAGTGGATGGTACACTATCCATGATATCTGTTTCAATCTCGTCTGAGGGTTCCACCTCTTCACTGGGCTGTTCTCCTTGAGGTTCTTCAGCTTGATCGCTGTGCGTCACGTTTACTCGGAGAGGTTTATTCATTCGTTTATCATAAAAGGTTAAATAGCGTTGCAGATTCTGGTCGTATAACTTTGCCTTTTCATCGATTGGTATATCTTGTCGTCGAATAATATCCTGCATTTCCGAGTCTATTTCGTTGACCTGTGTCGCCAAAGGTGCCGCGAGAGGTTTCTTTCGCTGTTCAACCATATGTTCAGGCACAAGTACTAATCGCTTGACGTGTTCCATTATAAAAAGTTTGCCAATTTCTCCAATACTGAAGTCAGTAGGAACGGCAGAAAACCTTCCCCCTTTTGGACAAGACGTCTGCGTCTGTGCTCGATAGAATTCCGTGGGTCAGCTGCAAACTTTATATGTTTGGAATGTGGAGCAAGTTTTTTAGCTGTTTTTGGCTTGAGTTTAATTGTGTCAAACCAAACGTTTAATAGACACTGTCTTATCGCTTCGTATAAATCGTCCTCAGCCGCTTTTAAGATCGCTTTTCTCAGCTCAGGCTTACACTTGGCTAATACTTTGAGAAGTTCAGAGTTCCTCTTCATGCAAGCAGACATTGTCAAATGAATAATTTGTACGAGTAACGAGTTTCTTATACTCTTGGCTGATAAACGTAATGCGTATCTGATGGAAAGATCCCGGATCGAACTCTTATCTCGTCAGGACATGTTGGTGTCAGGTCGACAAATAAATACGAATACGGTTCTTTAGTTGCCATTTGGTAAGCTTGTTGAAAGAATTTTGTGTTGTTAGGATATAACTGTTTGCCAAGATGAACAATTTGACTCGCGTCGCGGACATTTTTTGTTAGGCATAAGTAACTTGCATTTAAGGAAATTGTACGATGCTCTTTGCTTTGATGAAACAAATTTTGTACAATGTACACTACACTGAGATTGCCATGATGTGATTTTTTCGTAAATAACTTTGAAATAACTCCGTCCTTTTCGCCCATCATATCGTCAATGATAAACAAATTGTATGTTTCTGGATTTATACTGTCCAATATATCATCAGGCAAGCCTTGTATGAATTTTATACCAGGCACTAAATTTTGTATTTCTCCAAACGTGTCTTGATATTCGGAATAGAAGTAAACAATGTTTTCTGGAGGCTTATCAATCATAACATTAGCATAACTTAAAAATTTTTTGACAAACGTAGTTTTGCCTGATTTTGTACCGCCAGAAACGATCAGCCCAAACGGGTGTGTTAATTGTATAGAATACATGTTGGAAATGAAAACAAAATAATTTTCCGAGCTATTTATACCAAATTGTCGGCTTTTTAGTGCTGGCAATCAATTTATGCAAATTGTTCAGAACTGTCTCTAAATCCATTGGCGTAGCTCTAGCACGAATGAGGTATGGTTGTCTTTGTTCGGGGGAGAGTTCATGCACGTCTGCCAAATGATTCGCTAATCTTTGTAAAGCCTGTTTACCGCAAAGCGGACAGTCCTTTCGCTTTCGAGGCATACTAGCAAATGATTATATTCCTTTTTTGGCTTTGTTTCATATTTGTTTCGGTGCGCAAAAACGGCCCGCAGGGCCTTTTTTGTGGCCTTGTGGCCCGAAACTCTGATGTCCAACCCCATCCTCTCAAGCAAATTATTTCAGACCAGGCTATATTTTGATTCAGCTCATGTACGCCGAGTGAATTTATTAAAAAATCATTGTCATAAACAAGTTACATGTTTTGCTGATCAATAGTACCCACCAAGTTAGCAGGTAAGCCAATCATTTATAATCTTAATGTTTGGTACATAGATTCATCAAAATATAAACACATGCCATATCAACCGACTACACACTTTTATTTATATCATTTTGATGTTTGAAATTATTAATAATAGTTTACTTATATTTATTTCACACGCACAATGTTCACTATTTACAGAGAATTATACAAAGAGAGAGATTACGAATCAGAATCGCTTACTTTGAAGTTTTCACCGCGCTTACGAAAAATTGCAGCAACTATTATTTCATTCTGCTATAATTACCTCACTTAATTAACTTAATTAAAATGCAGTAAACAATCGAACACAGTGATTAAGGTTGAACCGTCACATAATGACCAACACAACTTCAAAATTAGCGATTCTAATGACAGTATTTTTTCTTTATATAAGGAGGACACAATTTCAATTTTATCACATACAGTCAAAATGGAGAGAGTCAGTAGACAACAACAGTGCATTCGAAACTACCGAAAATATCGGAAGCGAAAAAAGGAACAGTTCGAGTATTTTAAGAAAATGGAGAAGTACTTGAAAGAAAATCATCCAGAATCCTACCACAAGTTTGTAGAGGAGAGCAGCCAAGAAAAAGCTGATGAGTTAATTGAAAGTCTTGGTTTGTGAGGCTATGATGAATGATATGAATGAACTGAACGACGAACCGCGACTCAGGAGAAGAAATGTAATAAAACTGATTAAAATGAAACTATACTGACTGAATGTTCCAGACAAGAAATGTGATAAACTTGAAATTGAAACTGTAACACTTAATAGCTAGAATCCATAAGGGATTGTGTTAAAATAATTATCACAAATCACACGCTTATTATATACTATTCTGTACTGTTTATTCTGACGTTTTGTAATAATCTGTTTTGTACTGGTATTTCGATTGATTTTATAAGGTATATCTACAGAAATTGGATATCCTGTGTCACATAGAAGACTGAGATAAACTGTGACACAAACAGTGTTAAAGTTTAGCGATTTTGAAGCCCTAAAGTTTAAAAAAAAATTAAAGATTTCAAATATTGTTAAAAACCTGCTCACTAATAATTATTGAAATAGAAGATTTAGGCCTACAAAGTGCAAAAACCTATAGGTTTGGAATGTTTTAAAGTTGAGCAAAGTTTGCCTTTTGTCCAGTACATGAAATAGTTCAAAACCGTGTTTGTCTGCTTAAAAAGTCATAGATTTTCGTTCAACCAAACTCCATATGCCTCAACTTCAACTTTCGCACAGTGTTGATAGTGCTCCCGGGATGTATGTGCACCGCACGTCTCTAACCAACCCAATTCATCAAACAGCTTATCAGCTTTCGGACAGCCCAATATCTCCAGGTTTACGCTTGGTACACCAAGACGAACAAACATGTCTCTTTCATAATGACCACCCTTATAGGCAATCTTTGAACTAGATTTGATTTTATGTTTTTGGTAAAAGTCCAGTACGATAATGTCAAGTTCGTGTAATCCTCGAGCGATAACACCGCAAGGAACACCAAATGGAAGATGATGTATATTGCGCGTTAAGAAACAACATTGCCTTTTCGTTTTCTCATCAAGGGCATTCCAACAGAGACCAGTATCAAAGAAAAAGGAATTAGCGTACAAATCACCAACTCGGAGAACACCTAACTCCTTACACAAAAATTTTTTATGCACACAAAACCCACCAATATCCATTTTTCCAATCACATCTCGAAGAGTCTCCATATCAAAATACGCTAAATATTGTCAAAATTGTGAGATTTCTACAGTATATGAAAACATTGTCAGAAAATGAAATTGCAATTGCCCATTTATAATAATATTGCTATCGATATCAGCATATTGTTATTTAAATGATAATAGTATCATCGTTTTGTTATTTTAATAAAATTTAATGAATTTAATGATCTCGATACCACAGTATTGAACGTTATTGAAATGCTTCAAAATTAGCATTTTGTCAGTATTTTTATTGTTATCGCGTTATCACAGTGTTGTTTCTCTGATAACGATATAATTTTAATGGTGAATATTGACCACGAGTATACCCGACATGACTTTGGAATCTACCAAAACTATACATAGAAGTTCAGGTTTCAGGGGCGGATTCAGCGTCTCAATCTGACCGTAGCATTTTGGATGAAATCAACATGCGGGGCCGAAGGCCACGCCCTACCTAGGGGGGTTTGGGGGCATGCCCCCCCAGAAAATTTTTGAAATTTGAAGCCCGCAAGTACCATTTCCTGCATTCTGAGCATCGAAATTAGATTTAAAATTTGTAGAAAAGTGGCTGTTTTTCACACCAAAATAAGAAAAAAACGCACAAAAGTTACCGATTTATTCATCAACATACCACTTCGAACAACAGATTATCTTGAAAAAGTAAGATAACAGTAGTTCGAAAGTTTTCAAATGTACATCATCTTGAAACAGCGGCCCAACGACAGTTAGGGACAATGTTTATCTGGCTAAGCAGCAGCATATATAGATCATCCCGAAACAGCAGGACAACTTATGGCAGTCAGGAAACTGAAATATTTTCTGTACTGTATATAGATTATCTCCAAGTTATAGGAAAAATGTTTATTTGTAGATCATCTTGAAACAGCAGCACAACGGCAATTAGGAAAAATGTTTATTTGTATATGTTTATTTGTACTAAAATTCGAGCAATACTGCAGGAATTCGCGCAGAGCTGGGTGCGCAAATTTTAGTACTGCGGGAAATATAATCCACGCGAAAAGCTTTGCGGTGTAATATTCACTCGTTGTTAGTAAATAATATAATGTAAGGCAATACCATATACGAACCTATAATATATGGGATGCTAATAAAATTAGTTATTGTTATTGTATTAGGCAAATGAAAACCATACATTTTGAAGTTTGAACTTTATACGCTTTAAGCCTGGTTCACATATATGCCTGCGACGTACCGGCGACGATGCCGATGGTAGCTTTACATTTGTTCGCCGATTGCCTCCAGTGCCACAGTTACATCGGCGGTAGGCCGGGAAAGTTGACTTGAGACTTGAGTTCAACTTTGCCGGTATTTCGGCGGCAAGTATAGAGGCATAATGATACAGTCGCAGGCATGCCGAAGGCATATGTGAACCAGGCTTTACTGTTATCATGAATTTTGTTTTGACAAATATTGTATTATTTGTTGTTATAGTTCTATTAATCAAACCAAAAGGAACCAACACGGAAAATTACTTGCGCGAATTTAAAGCTGCGCGAACAAGTTTCGCGAAATTGGAATGCGCGAATTTAAAGCTGAACGAAAATGAGTATACGACGCGAATTTTAATACAAGTAAGGTATACAATACATGGATTTGAAACATCTAACCATATATTTATGATATGTTATCCCAGGAAGCAGGCTCAGCTGTTGTAATTCTAAACTCTGTTAGTATACATGTAAACTACAATATAATATATCGGAGTGTAACTATTTCTATAAATTTCATTTACACTACTCACTAGTCTTTATAGACTACAGGTCTACAACTAATAATTACATGAGCAAAGTCTAAGATATAAAATATATAGGAGATTAACTAACATATTTCTTAATATAAACATACATGGCATGCCAATGGCTATCAAATAGTGTGAGTGGCCATTGATATTGTTCTGCATTTTTATAATGATACGTTTCATCAGCAAATATATGGTAATATATTCGAGACGCATGAACTGTGTAAAATTCGATATGTTATTTACATATTTAATATACTATTCATGAGACTGACCTGACACGGAGGTGATTCAAACAGCGCTGTCTTCACAGTTCACATTGCGGGAAATGCAAATTATGCCAATAATCGCACACCAAAAGCTTTCGATCAGAATTCTTTCGCGCACCTTTTCGTTAAATGAAACACGTTTACATTCGTTCATTATACACAGAAGATCGTGGAGTCATGTAGAAGCCACCATATCTTTCTCCTTGGAACGAGCGGCGATTAAAATTTACCGACTATTCGATTACAACGAGGAGCCGACACGACAATAACAAGCCAGCATCGCTCTGAAGTCGATGCGACTATTGCAAACAGTAGCATTTTGCCTCATTCTGATTGGCGTGCTTCGTCTGACCGTAGCAAACCAATCAGCACGCCGTATTTGCGAATTTTTGCAACGGTCAGTTTCAATCTGACCACTGCAAAAATTTCCAAATACAGCGCTATGATTGGTTTGCTACGGTTAGACGAAGCAAGCCAATCACAATGAAGCAAATGCTACGACTTCAGAACGATGTGATATAGTACTAGTGCAAAACCCGCAAATACAGGCAGTATTTCGGGCGGAAATTTGAGAAAAACCCGAATTTAATTATCCAAAATGAAATAAAAACTCGATAAAATTGTATCAATATGATTTAGTAAATTTTAAAAAAATTGCACCAAGTTTCAATGAAAAATTGAAAATAACGGCAATTAAAAATAGTATAACGTTTTAGTTTTTAATAACTTTAAAAAAGGTACAACCTGGAAAAATATATCTCAGGGAAAATCTGACCGTAGCATATGCTACGGTTGCAACGGTCTGAATCCGCCCCTGGGGCCGGTTGTTCAAAGCTGGGTTAGTTTGGCACTAAATTAACCTAAAACTGAAAGCAAACTTCCTCACAGCTTGTCTATAAATTTGGAAATATTTATTCAGAGATCTTGTCTGGATCGATAGGAGTTTACTTCTCTGAAGTTTTGAAATAAACAGACATGTAGAAATATATGAACTAAAACAGCAGGTTAAATTTTAACCCAGGGTTAGCGATAACCCACCTTTGAACAAACCGCCCCGGAAGTGATTTTTCAAGCTTTCTAAAATTGTTCGTTGATTGATATAACCCGCATTCAAGCATTTTTTACAACGGTTAAAAAAATCACTACCGGTTGATAGCTGTTCCATCTGGCTTTCGTACAACCGACCCGTGATGGATAGTCCACATGAAGACACAGTGTTAGATGGCAACAAAATGAAGACGTGACCCAAGAGAACCCAGAGACAGTGCAAGTACTTAATTAAATGAATACTCTTAATTAACTATTAAATGAACAATTTAAATTGTAGATTTTCTTATCTTAAACCATAATCTGTCAAGATATGATGGTCTGGAAGCGCGGCAAACTTCAAAGCCACAAAATAGAAGATCTTTGTTTGATGTTGAACTGTACCTATGCACAAATCCTTTGTCTCAACTTCATTGAATATCATTCATCGTGGTTGCACGTTTCATCTCAGTACTACTTCATTATACGAAAATACAATGAGCTCATTCACCGTTACCATAAACTCAGAAAAAACATAACACAATGAATTCGGTTTAGTTTCCAGACATTTATATCTTGATAGACTATGCTTAAACTTTACCAGTTGGACGACTATGAACACTGAACTCTAGGTGGCTTATGTACAGTAGCGAACTTGAATGAACCCAATTTCTACCTTAAGAATCGGCTTAAAAATTTGTGTATTAGTCGGTTGTGGTCAGTGAACTGTAAATAACCTGGAACGATAACTCAAGTAAACATGCCCATACTTGCCCGAAGCCAAGATGGCGGCCAGTTTTTTGCGTGGGTTTGTCACGAAGTGTCGGTCGGCAGAGAACGCATGGTCACAGAATAGGAAGTTATACCAGAAGCGTAACTCGAGCAAATATTTGTCCGCGTTTTTACAAGCGATTCGTCATCAATCACGCCATCCTGGCTAGTACAACCGGCACTTTGTACCTACCAAATCCAAGGGAGCACGCAAGAGTTCGTTTTGCCTGTCTTTTAATCACTTTATTACCTTCGTTTTGTTTTTGTCCGCCATTTTGAAAATATATGCGGTATCCTTCATTAATGTATCGCAGGCGCTAATCACGAAGTTCGGCCGAATGAGTTTTTTCAGGCGGTTCGCAAGAATCTAGCTAGTATAATAACTCAACACATCCTCACTCTAAGAATACCTATTATAGGTATATGTCAAATGTCCTAAGAATATGCATAATAGATAGTTCAAGGCTTTCAATCATCTGTAGTACCCAGAGCCCGTAAGGTTGGTCCGCGTATGTTTTTTGGCGGCAGATTCGGCAGATGTTGGCGGCAGAAATTTTGCGGCAGATTTGCATTTGCTGCAGAATTCGACAGGATATAAATTCAACAATATTCAATACTCAGCCTACTGACGTTCGGATTGTGTTTATATATAATATGGAAACGATGGCAAATGATAACACGGAAAACGCGGAAAAGCAAATGGTACGATTCATTCTCCCCGTTTATATTAAATTTAATAATAACCATCAATTGAAATTTGCATATTCATATATCAGATTTTAGTATGTAAATTTATATTGTCATGAATAAACATTTCTAATTCAGTAATTGTAATTCTATTCTAAAAAGATCTAAAGCCCTATTTGTAGTCTTTATCGAAGACAGAGTTTCTGTGTTCACAGTAGGGAGTTTTCGTAGGTAAATTCTAAGTTCTAATGGATTTGTGACAAATATAGCTGATACAGTAGCTCAGTCACTCAGTGTTATTAAAAGCACTGTTTTTAATAGTTCTGTCACACGTTTCTAGCATTAAAATCAAATATTAAAATACATAGTCAACTTAGGATTTATCAAGGATTGATCCCACTGTTATCACAGAAACTTATAAATAATTGACAGTGTAAACCAGTCTTAAGAAATATAGATATTTGCATTTCCTTATCAATCTTTGCCTTTGTATTTGTGGTGAACACAGAATGGAGCCACAAAACGATGCTTTAATTGCCATGATGAACACAATTCTGGTGCCAAAAAGTGCCGTACTTGTCTGGTGCAAAGGAAAACTGACAAGATCGACATAGAGGATGAGAGAATTCGGGATATGAAAACTCCTAATGCTTCAAAGCAATTTGACAAGCTAAAATATCGGGTAAGACCATGTATATATGCTTTATATATATATATATATATATGCTCTCTATATATATGCTCTCTATATATATGCTCTCTATATATATATGCTATATATATATATATGCTATATATATGCTATATATATGCTATATATATGCTATATATATATATATATATATATATATATATATATATATATATATATATATATATATATATATATATATATATATATATATATATATTTCTTTTTATGAATACACCCTTTTGATGATTACGTCATTTGGCTTGGGAGCCTTGCCCTCATGAAGGGTTCAGGAAGATTGCCCCTGCTACTTCTGTAGGAGTGGTGAGTACTGTTGGTCTATGGGAAGTTGAAGAAACAACTGGGAACTGTGATGGAGGAAAGATGGATACGGAACAGTAACGTCGGTGGATCTGTGATATATATATATATATATATATATATATATATATATATATATATATATATATATATATATATATATATATATATATAGCATATATATTTATAATATAGCATTTGTAAATTCTGAACGCTGATTGGCTGAGAGCCATGTTGATATAACTCGATGTCAACACAGAAATGTCGGAAAATTTCTTTCTTTTATATTTCTTTGTGCTATATTATAAAACAAATATAAAACTTTTTTCCGTAATGATATACAGTTATATCAACACTCGTGGAAATTGGGAAAACTCAAAATTGTGTGAAAACACTCCGCCCTTCGGCCGTTGTGTTTCCACACAATTTCTCGTTTTCCCAATTTCCACTCGTGTTGATAAATGCGGGGTTTTTCAAACCTTCGTAACGCTTGATATAAGGATAAAACGCGCCGCGATATGCTAAAAATATAACACATTACATTGCATAAAATATAACTGTATATCAACACGGAAAATGTTTTATATTTGGTAAATATATATATGCTCTGTATATATATGCTCTCTATTCTATATATATATGCTCTGTATATATATGCTGTATATTTATATGCTGTATATATATATATATATATATATATATATATATATATATATATATATATATATATATATATATATATATATATATATATATATATATATATATATATATATATATATATGATATAAAGTTAATCACTAACACATATTTTTTGACGTTTCGACTTTATTGTCTTCTTCCAAGTAAAAATCGTTAACATAAACCCCTACTTATATACCCTACCAGACGAACATAACTATTCATACTCCTCAGAATCCTGTTCAATGTTCAACCCCGAGGGGTACATTGTCATAAGTCTATTAATCCAGTACATTTCCCTAATCGTTGGTTCTGCTGGGTTGGTTTTATCAATTATGACTATATCACAGTCATTCATTAAGCCATTATGGTTTTCACCTAAGAAATGCGAATGAAAAAAGGCTTGTGTATGAGCTTTGTTGGACATTGCTTTCCAACAAAGCTCATACATGGGGTTGAACATTGAACAGGATTCTGAGGAGTATGAATAATTATGTTCGTCTGGTAGGGTA